CTGGAAACAGCTATTAAAGTTTCTGTCCCACACCCAGGCATTTCAGCAGGTGCAGGAGAGGACACAAGCTGAGGCTCCTGCATGTCACACAGCAGTCTGAGCTTCTGGGAAATACAGATACTTCAGTCCTTGACAAAAATCCTTCCTTCTCCTCTTGATCTGCTAACAGCTCCCAGAAGCAAACACAGATATAAAAGCTCATCTATCAGAGGACAACTTGAAACAAATACAAATAAGACTTAAAGGCAAATATCCAAGCTGCAGAGAACACAAGGGTTCCTTAATTTTGCATTTGGAGAGAAAACCAATACTACGTGGACATCCTCCAACATATTTTTAATGTTATTAACAGAAATAGTACCCCAGGCTGTGCTCAAGCAGAAAAAGTGTGAAATTGTTTGCAATGTGGAGTGAAAAGGGGATCAAAAATACCATCTTATTAAATGGCATTTATTCGGTGCTAAGTGAATTATTTATTCAATTGAGAAGTTCACAAAGTGACAGAGGAGTAAACACAAGCGAGGTCACCACTTCATGTCAGTATCAAAGCTGATCCCTAGCAGAATTTAAGCACCTGCCTTTTCTTTTATCTCAGCACAAAATGAGATTTCTTTCTTTTTTTTTTACACTTCAAAAGCCATGTAACACAACAGAATACACGCCAAGCATGCAGGAACAGAGTATGCCAGCATCTTTCAGCAATCAGCTTTCCCTTGTCATCCATTATGTCAGATTTATCTATTTTTGCTTAATTCTTGCTCCAGCAATACGCATCCTTCCTCTCTCCAGACTATCAGGCTGCTTGGGCTGGAACTCAATACAGCTTCTTAAAATAGTTGAGAAATATTGAAAATACTTGAAGCGATGCCTGTAAATTACAGCCAATTCATCAACTGATCCTCCAGCTCCCCAGACAAGGGTCAGTTCTGATTTCTTCACCTCAGAAAGTCTAACCAGAGTAAATATCATTTAGGAAATGTACACCTCCTGTTTTATGCAAGCACTTTTCCATGGAAGCTTAGATCCTGTGTTAATTTCAGATCTTGACCTCTGTTTGCTCTCTTGCTTTTGATCCAAACCTTCCTCTGCTAAAAATTAATAGTGAGTTCATCTGCTTTCAAGTTTCCTTTCTGTTATCACTGCTTTCCCCACCCCGCCCCGAGTTTCCAGACCCTCTGGAATGGCTTTACAGGACACCAGAAGTACCTGAACACTCTCCCTGCATCCTTCACTCCCTGCTCTCTCCACCTCTAATACCTTTCAACAGCATCTTTCCCCACTGTTTTATGTACCTACTTAAATCAACAGACTCCAGCAAGTTCAAATTCTTAGGCTGAAAAAAGCCCTGACCAGAAATACACACACTGAAAGGAAAATGCCACTATCACGACTCTGTTCCCCCACTGCCTGTGTAGCACCGAGCACGGGGTTTTCTCAGTCGGCTGCTGAATCAGACTAAGTTTCCACAGCGCACACACACACACACAGACAGAATCAGGAAGCCCTGACACATCCAGGAGGATTTACTCCATCACAAAGTCACCACCGTTGCTCCAGCACAAATGACATCACTCAGGAACCCAACCTCATCCTCTTGAGAGCTCCCAGCTCCCTCCTCTCCCGCTGCGACCGGGGCAACAAAGAACCGGGTTCGTGCAGCAAAGAGGAAAAAAAGTACTGCTGCAAAAAGTTTTCCCAAGGAACTTACATCTTCTTGAAACTGTGGTTAGAGAGAAAATTAAGGACCGTGGTAAGAAGTGAGCAGAACAAATTATGGCTGAACTAATTAACCTGCACCTGTGATTTACCCTAAACTTGTACCGAGTGATGAGAGGTGATACCAAGGGAGGGTGAGGCGTTCGTGAGCCCTCGCAGGTGCTGCTCAGGGAGGTTCACACGCTGCAGAACCAAAACCATTTCAACACTTTGCTGCACGAGTGGACTGAGAACAGAGGAGTCCAGCTCTGCAGTTTTGTCCTTCTTCTTCTTCTTCTTGAAAATCGGTTGGTAGGGAATAAAATCGACGGATGATTTATTGACAATACCTGTGCCCTGCCCATGGCGTGGGGGCTGGGAGGAGAAATGGTCTTTAAGGTCCCTTCCAATCCAGACCAGCCCGCGATTCTCTCGCAAAAGGACACTTTTCTTGGGGAAAGAATCACACAAAGGATGTGCTCGCACTGCGACCGCAATCCCCCCTCTCCCCTGACGGCACTTCTATCGCGATGGCTGGCACACTATCGCGATCCGGGCCGCGTGTGGTACCCAGGGGCAGGTATTCAGGGGCTGCCGAGGGGTCGGGGCGCTGAGGAGGGGACACCCCGGGGAGGCGGATATCGCGACGGGGGGGGAGAGGGGCGGGTCGCGACACAGAGGAGGGTCGCGACACCGGTGATCCCTCAGCGGGTGGGGACACCCGGGAAGGACAATGGCGAGCGGGGCGGAGGGGGGGGGGGGGGGGGGGGGGGGGGGGGGGGGGGGGGGGGGGGGGGGGGGGGGGGGGGGGGGGGGGGGGGGGGGGGGGGGGGGGGGGGGGGGGGGGGGGGGGGGGGGGGGGGGGGGGGGGGGGGGGGGGGGGGGGGGGGGGGGGGGGGGGGGGGGGGGGGGGGGGGGGGGGGGGGGGGGGGGGGGGG